GTGAATACAAACCAGACTCACCCTTCAGGGGTAGTTGTGCATTTTGCTAGTTTTCATTTTAATTCCCCCAAGAACAGTAGACATTCAAAGCAGCTGCCCAAAATCCTTTGGGAAGCCCTGTGATAGCGCCATGGCCTCAGGCCAGCTCGGCTAAGGTACTCACCGGGGTTCAGAGTAGAGCACAGGATCTGGGCTCCCGGAAGGGGTTGCTTCCCGCTGGAACGCCCACCAGCAGGGCGTCCTTGCAGGCATTCTGCATGCAGTACTGTTGGAGCTCTGCAGCGGCCTGGGAGACCTGAAACCACAGGACTACAGCTGGACAAGCCGCTCGCAGCCAGACCCACCCAGCAGCCATTTGATATTCTGAAAAATGATCACACAGCCAGATCACACTTTATGTGACCTCCAAAAGCCCCTGTTGTGCTGAAAGGTCTAATAATGAACTTCAAAGAGGAAAGATTACATTTCTATGAGCTCTGATATAGGATATTTTTGGTTAATTGCTTATTCAACAAAAGACAGAAAAGCAGTGTCTCTGATCCATTTAGAATCCTAGTTCTGAGACTCAACTGGTTAAGAAATAGCTCATTCTAATGTTCCCTTTACAAATTTTTATTTATAAAGTATGCACTGATATATCCTGGTTTCCTAGGTGAGCGAACCGCTTTACTGTACACAAGGCCCACGTCCTACCCAGCACGCTCAAAACAAGCGACAGTTCTTCCACCTTGCTTTGAAGCAGGAACCAGACTGTTTAGTCTTAAATTCCGCTGTGTCACTACCCGTATGAACTTGAGCAAGTTTCTTAACTTTTCAGTACCTGTTTTCTCATCTGTGAAATGTATTTAGTAATAGTACCCACTTCACTGGGTTAACGTGAAGACTGAGTTAACAGCATGCAAAGCACTTAGAATAGTGCTGACACATAATTAGCAATACATGTGTGGCAGAGTGCAGAAAAGCCACAATATTTTGCAACTCCTCCCACCACGAGCTGGAGTCTGTTTACCCACTGCTTGAGTCTGGGCTTGTCTTGTGACTTGTTTTGACCCAGAGAATGCAGTAGAAATAATGGGCAACTCCCAAGCCTAGGCCATAAAAGCTTTGCAGTGAACTCTCTTGCTGTGATTTTAGGGTTCCTAAAATCATGAGACCAAGCGAGATAACAGGAGATCTTGTAGAAGAGAAGCAGTCAGCTAGCCCCCAGCCACTTGCTTAACAACCTCCAGATACATGAATGAGGCCACCCCAGATCACCCCGCCCCCAGCCAACCCTCCATTTGACTGCAGATGGATGCAGGGGAGGGCTCAGCAAAGACCAGCAGAACTATACAGTTGGTCCCAGTCAACTTGCTGGCCTAAGGATTGCAAGAATTAATAAGTGTTGTTTTAAATCACTAACTTCTGGAGAAATTAGTCAGCACTGATTCAACATTATTCTGCATTTCCTCTTATCCTCCATTTGATGCCTATTTGTACTTGGAGGCTCTTCTCACTTCCCATTTTCCTTGCACTGGAAAGGTGTTCTATGTAAAAACTCACCTACATTGTACAAACATGAGTGCAACTGCTGTTCAAGTATTGCTACCACTTTGTCTTAATTTTCCAGGCTTCCAAATAACTGCAAAATCAATTTCTTATGTTAAAGCTGCTATCTAGTTTCTACAATGCTTTTAGGAATTTTGGTTTCATTAATATAACAACCATTTAAGTTATATAATATAAATATAACATTGACAGAGTAATGTTTAAGCTTACCTTCAGACCTCAACAGAAGGCCTGCCAATTTTACATTAATTCTAATTAGAATTAATGGTTATCTAGAAGTTATTAATTCAGAAGAAATTTGGGACCAATTACTCTCATGCTTTCTATCTCTGTATCGGAGGGAACAGGTGAACCCCACACATGCGTGGAAGGAGACTGTCCCAGGACCCCTTGAGAACTGGGACTAACTGAACCCCAGCCTAAACAATGTGGTTGAAAAGGTGAGAGGACAGGCAGGGACACTATAAATGGTCAGCATTTCATTTCTCTAGCACTTTGGACTGGGAGAATTCAAACCCAAAACAAACACTTGGAAGCTATAGCCAGCTACAGGAGGCAGATAATACCACCCCACAAATCATATGACCTTCCTTGGTCTGAGCCGTTGTTCACCCAGCAACTTCCAAGAGGCTTCACCACAGCAAAGAAGGGGTTCTTGGAAGGATACAGAGTCTCCCTGTCACTGGGAAGGGATGCTCAAAGATTTGTGTACCAGCTAGCTAGTCGGTGAAAGAAAAGGCCTGCCTGGGTGTGTGGAGAGCATCCACTGCTGAGCCCTCACAGGGGGAGCCCAGACCTTGGACCACGTGACTCTCTGAAGTGCTGTTGGAGAGAAGTTCTGCCACGCTCCCCAGATCATGCTACCAGGAGGGCACCCCTCCACTAAGTGTGTTGTCTGTGTGACCTCGAACAGCTCACTCAGATTCTCTGGGTCTCAGTTCCATCACCCACAGTCGTGTTTTAAATGCAGATGGGAGTATGTTCCCTAGCTTCTTCACAGGGTGGGCGTCTGGCTCAGCTTTGCTTTCCTGCTCAGGTGGCGACAGCATCTTGAACACTTGCTACAACCTGGTTTCAGTTCCCTGACCTCCTTCCTCTCCTCAAACAACCTTCTCAATGCCAATGGTTACAGCCAAGACCTGTTAACTGCTCCACATCTGAAATTTTACACTCCAACATCCTATTTTCCCATCGATGCAATCTCCCCTACTCCTCCAGGGCGCTGCTTTCTAGTCTCACTAAGCCTGCTCTTCCATCCCAGGGTGGGGTGGGGTGTGGGGGGGACCCCACATCCCCTTTCCTCCAGCCCATCACCAGGACGCCTGCTCCGTGCCTTCCCTATCCAGCCTACTTCCAGCCTCTTTCTGGGGAAACCCTCAAACTCCTTGCCCTCCACCTCAGCTGACATCTTTCCGGCATACCTCCCCTACTCATCCACAGCCACCCTTCACCGTGGGCACTCAGATTCCTGGGTGGGCGAACGCCGCCGGAGGGAAAAACACCACAGGCAGGGCAATCAGTCTCCACTCTCGCAGTGGCCGGGTCACAAGGTGTCTAGGGACTTGCCTGCTCCCGATTCCTCCGGAACTCCTGACAGCACTCCCTCCCCCACCCTCCCTCCGGCGATTCCACTCGCTCCCTCTCCCCTGCCCTAGAAGAAAACCTGGCCTCCGATTTCACAAAGAAAACTGTCATCATACAAGTCCGTAAGTCTGGATCTGGAAACATCTATCTTTACACACACCCTGACCCCCTTTCTTGCTGTCTTAGAGGGCGCCCCTCCAATCCCATGCCCCAAAGGACAGACAGACCCCCATCTCCTCCCCCTCCAAATCTCCTCCATTCGTTCTTTCCCCTCAACCTCAAACATGGCTTTTTGTTCCCTAAATTGAAAAACAAAGTGGTTTCCTCTTGAAAACCAGATTTTTTTAAAGTCTGCATACCTTATTACAATCTAGAGTCTGTTCTGAGTACCACTGAAACTTCTTCATTCCACACCCCTCTTTACCTTGTTTTATAACCTGCACATCACTTATTGTCTGAAATAGTTTCATTTATTGGGTAATGTGCTCACTGCTTATCTTCCCTACTAGAATCTCCATGTTCTCGGTACCTAGGATGGTGCCGGATGCAGAGAAAATGCACGAGTGAGGCACACGGACCAGCACGGCAGCGTGCATAGATACACACACGTTCTACAGACTGCGCTGTCTACATTAGCTGCCGGACACAACTGCACAATAGATGCTCTTTTTTTTTTAATTGTTGACGCTATTAGAGATGTCACCCGCTCCCCCCTTTACCCGCCTCCACACCCCTCCCTCACCGCAACCATATGGCAACAGATGCTTTTGAACCAACTGACTAAACAAACACGGGACACGTGGACTAGGCCCCAAATTTTGCTTCAGAAACCGTGCTTTCCCTTGGTTTTCTTCTCTCAGGCCCCTCTTTTGGCTGGTCTGGTCCCTAGGTCCCCTGCTCTGGTCGCTCGGCTAACACAGATTTTTCACCCACATATACGCGCATTCAGATTCTCTCTTTCAGCCGTGATCTCTGAGCTTTAGCCCATGTCGCTACATACCTTCTGCACATCTCAAGTCGACGTAAGGAAACCTGACCTCATCACCTGCCACCTCCCCCTTTCTCTCCCCTATGTTGTGGCAAATGGCCGCGCCACCCGTCCTGTCACGAAGCCAGAAACCCAAGCCTGGCCTGTCTCCTCCCTCCCAATCCATCACCGAGGCCCGTCCATTCATTCGGTGGCCTCCGCATCTCTGGCCTCCACCCTCGCACACCAGCCGAGTCCAGGCCACGTCCGTGGTCTGCATCACTGGTCAGCTCGCGTCCGTCCTGCTCCACTCCGTCAAGTCTCCCTCCCCACCACCACCGAAATGCAAATGTCCCGGGGGCACTGGGTCCCAGGCCGCCCCGGCGGGACAGCAAGCCCGTCTCCCCAGGAGCACCGGGCCCAGTCCCCTTCCTTTCTGGCCCACGTCCCCGCCGCTCCCGCTCCCGCTCCCGGGCGCCGGGGTCCAGCTCGGCCGTGCGAGCTCCCATCCCTCCGGGCTGTGGAGCAGCGAGCCGGGTGGAGCGCGCCGCTGTCCCACCGCAGCCGCCCCGCCCGCGCGGCCTCTCTAGGGGCCCGGCCGCCCCGTTCGCAGGCGCGCGGCCGGCTTAACGGCCGCCAGCCCGGGGCTGTCAGATGCGCTCAGCGCCCGGAGGCGGCGTTCCGCAGGCCTCACCTTGATCCTCTCCACGGCGGCCTCCAGCTTAAGCTGCTCCACCAGGCGCTGCAGGGCGTTCACGCTGGCCCCGGCGGACATGGCGGCGGTGGCGCTGCGCTGGAGGGCGGTGAGCTGGGCCGGCTGCGCTGCTGGGCCCCGAGCGAGCGCCGGCGCCGCCCGGGGGGCGGGGAAGTGGCAGCGCCCGCCCCGCTGTCGCAGCCCGCGCCCGCCCGCCCGCCCGCTGCTCGGCCTGCCCCGGCGGCGGGGTCCGGCACCGCAGGTATGCGGCGGTTTGGGGCCCCAACTGACACGCGAATCCCACTCTTCCTGCGTTCTGAACGCGAGCAGACCCGCCTCGGTCCCGGCGGCCGAGCCCCGACGTGGGGCCCGCACCGGGGCGCACGTCTCCACCCGGCCGCTTAATCTCAGCACCTTTTAGAGATGTCGGTGTCCTTGAAAACACAAACATCTCATTTGTGTCCCTACTGTCAACAGTAATTCTTCACTTTTTAAATTTTTTACTTATTTTTAGAAAGAGGGGAAGTGAAGAACTTCGGCCGTTGCCTCTCACACTTGCGACTCAACAAGCGACCCAACCGGCCACCTATCAATTTTACGAGACGGCGCTCAACCAACTGAGCCACACAGGTCAGAGCTTCACGTCTTTGACGTGTATTTTTATCACCTTTTTACTAACAAGTTACTTTTTTTTCCAGAAAAAGGGGCTATATCTCACTCTTCTCCATAAAAAAATAATGAAATGGGTGTGTCTGCCAATGTCATATCAAAACGGCAGTAGTGTCTTCGGTTTTCTAAAATGATTAAAAGAAAACAAGAAAACACATTAACAACTATATTTCATGTGACACGGTATAATGTACCATAACAAATGATTTCACTTCCTTATACCCATTGCATTATTTTTAGAACTTAGCATGAACTAAGAGCTAAACCGCTGGTTTGTGGATTCAGCTTCTCCAGATTTTCACAGGCAGTGAGACTCCGAGGCGGTGGAACTTAGGGCTACTGGATGTCCTTTGGAGCAGGGGTTCCAGGCCTGCCTGTTTACCTCATCACAGGTGTCCTTCGGTCAATGTAGGCCTTACACTGGCGAGGAGCTGATTATTCTGTTCTCTGAACGTTTTTTTCCTGGACTGTGGTGTCAGCTGCTTCACCTCCTAGCCAAAGGCAACACGAGGCAGGCAGCTGCTTTTGAAACGCACAACCCCAATCCTAAGGAGCATCCCTTTTTTCCGCCCTAGCACAGTACCTAAACCCCCACGAAAAGAATAAAGAAACACAGATTTTAAAATCATCAGTAAACACTCTGTTAACCACGGATTTTAACAAGTGAGAATGCATCCTGTTCCCTCTGAAGGCAAGGAAACTTATTTTCGGAACAGTTTGTACACTTTCCCCCTATCTTGTTTCATTCTTATAATCTACGAACTAGTTAGCATCCCTACTGTTAAAAATGGAAAGTGAGTTCCAGAGGTTAACCTGCCCACAGTGGAGCTACTGGTCAGTGGCAGAGCCAGAAACCAAAGCCTGGTGTGCTGGCGGTAAAGCCCGAGCCCTTCCACCGCATCCTGCTCACCCTTCCCGGGATTATGCAAGGAGAGACTGTTGAATGAGATTTCTCCCTCCCCTCCTGAACCCCGGGAGGAGTCTGTAAGAAACCTTAGGTCACTGACCTGAGACCAAGGGACTCGTTCCATACACAAATATCAAGGATACTCTGAATCTTTTCAGCACTACGAAGCTGATTAAAGTTCACAACTAATTATGTAGGCTTTTAAATTAATTGCCCATAACATTTCTCAATTTCAGGCCATCTAATCTACCCTAAACCTATGTGAACTTGCAGACTTCCAGAATTTTATATCCTAATTAGCTAAAAAGATCCTCTCATTTCAGATGAGGGAACTAGCAAGGGTAAGTAATTTGTTTAGCAAATGTTATTTAGTAATTAGGTTCCAGATTTGGCCTTAGCCCATATTCAAATGTGAAGAGGATCATTTTAGCCTAAGATTAATTTAGCAATAAGATTAATTATATTTCATCCACACACAATAGTTTGTATGAATAACATTAATGTGCCTCGAATGCACCATCATAACCCACCAGAGACCATGTTTGACTTACTGTCTTAAAGTAGCTAGATTTACTTATATTGATGTCTAAGAAAAGCCATGTCTCTGATTTCCACAGAACTTTCAGTCTGGGGTTGGCAGACTGGTCCATAACACCAGCTGAGTGTCAGCTCAGCGCTGGCTTCCACTTAACCAAAATTAGCGCCCAAGTCTGGGGTTTCAAGTGTACTGCCGTCAGTCAAACCAAACCAAACCAAACCAAACCAAAGAATCTCAGAGGAGACAAATGATTTTTCTAAACATAAATTCCATGGTACTAAAATATTTGTTAATTCTCCAACTTCAACTGGTTTTTTTCATGTAACATTTTAAAATCATGTACACTGACTGTGGTGTTTGAGATTCGGGCACATTACCTAACAGATGTGTAGTGAAACAGCAGCCTATGATTTGTGGAACGTGGGGAATTCATGAAGAAGTAGGACCAGTGAGGAAAGGGCTGGTGGTGCAATCTGGTACGAAGACATTAGAGATGAATAGAACCCTGAGTGTTCAAGCACAGATCCCAGTTACGTGACGTGATAATGAATACCTGCGTGCCGTGACTCCTGAATACCAAGTGCGACAAGGACACGGTGACGGCCCTAAGACTTAAGCACTAGAACAATTTTCTAACTGGTGGGGCTGCAGGATCCTCTACCCAGGGTTCTTCTCCAGATGTTTCTAAGATGGAGACGTTTGGGGGTTCTGGTGGGCGACAGGCAGAGAGCATGGAGACGGTAAAGACGCCCCGAGTACAGGATGGTGCTTGGGCCGACTAGTGGCCCTTCCTTCATGCTTGGATTCTGAGCCATGTTTCGTTGAGGGAAGAGGAGAGAAGAACCCCAGTCCTTCCACTAAGGAGAGTCCCTTCATCCTGACCCAGGCAAGGACCACGGCTCCAGGAGACTGACCACGTTTTTACCACGTGGGCAGACTGCTGGGACAATGCCAGAAATGAGATTTCTAGGAAGTCAGGAAGAAATACAGCTGTCTAGCAGATAAGCAAAATAATATCCAAAGATCTTTTTTTTATATCAGCTAAACCTGATGAATGCTAACATAGCCAGTCCTCTTATTTTTCCTCGGTAGTAGGTAAAAGATACCTGGAATATCAGAAATTTCCTTAAAATTTTAAGGGGCAAGTGCCCCCATTTCTCTTTGGTCCGTGTAACACTTGGCACGTACATCTGTTCCCAGATAAACACGACTGTGCGTCAAACAGATCCTGCGTTCTAAGGGGCCGCCTGCTGCCTCTGCAGACAGCCACGGCACCTTCAAGAGATGTTTAAAAGCTGGGCATTTGAGGTTCGAAACCACTCCCTATAATTTTGTTCTGTCATTCCCCCACCCTCCTACAAAAGAATAGAGGCATAAAACACTTTTACCTAAAGTTTATAAAAATATAAATAGTGTACCATTTCAGAATCTTAGATCTGTAAAAGGGCCCTAATGATAATCTGGTCAAACGCCCACAGGTTTCTAATGAGGCCATTCATTAAAGCGCTCACAGATTAAACTTCTCACTTTAGCTCTTCACCTCTACTGGCAAGGACAGAACTCTGCCCTCTCGCTTCTCTGTCCAGGCCACGTATTTGGGCTCAGCTCCCCCTGAGAGGGCTGGTTTATTTTGGCTAGAAACAGACTCTGCATACCTACTACCTATACTAATCTTTTAAAATTATATAACACAAAAGCAGTATGTTAATTTTTGATTTAAAGTGTCACACCACAACAAACTTGATATATTGCAACCATTTTATTAATATGAGGCAATGGGATAAATCCTTTAACAGGAGTCTAAAAAAACAAACAAAAAAAAAAAACAGGAATTCCGATTCACTACCATGAATATGTATTGATATTTTGGTGCAGTATCATACTTGTTTCAAATTACGTGTGAATTACTCTCACTCCCACACGTGAGACACTCACATTTCACTGTTTGAACAGCACGTGGCCAGTCGGTTCTTTTTTCCCGTTTAAACGCATGTAAATGCATTCACGTACAATGGATTTTTTCACCACTCAAGGACTTTCTAATCTGTGAACAGCTTTTCAGTACACTATTTCTGCTTCATCATTTTTTTTTTTAATTGAAGTGGTACAAAAGACCTTCTTACAAGGTCTCTTCTGGAAAAATGTCTGGAAACAGGTGTAGTCCTAAAATGACTGTAATCGAGATCATCCTACAAGGACGTGAACGTAGACTCACTCTCCTGGAGAGTTTCCGATCCGTGAAGAATACTGTGACGGGGAGAAAGAGGCAAATGGCGTTCCAGCAGGAGACTCTCTCAGAGAGACACTGTGAACGTATTTCAATCCTAGAATGACTGTAATGAAGACGATGTGATACTAAAATCATTATGTTGAAGTCTGTGTCTAGAAAGACACGCAGAATATGAGTAAGTGCTGTTAGAGTGTTTTATGTTTTGTGAAAATACCAGAGGCCATGAAAGCAGAAAAATGTAGCCCTGTAGCAAGGAACAAGGAAACACGTTTGAAGAATAAGCATTTAACACGTAAAAATTTTTCAATGGTATCTAATAAATTGTCATGTCAGCTCTTTTAACATATAAAATTTTTAAATGGCAACTAATAAATCTTCGTGTCAAATCTTTTAACAAAATCCACAAATAGATTATAAAAAATTGAAGAATCATAAATGTCTTATGTATAAAGTTTTAAGATAAAGTTCAAATTTCTTCATTATTCTGTTTAATCAAATACTCGAGGACTTTCAGCTCCTGCAGAAGAGCGGCTGACACGTCTGGGAAATAATTCAGTTGTGAGGATGACACCGTGACTAAGGTGCGGCAGAGCAGCAGCCCCGCAGCCCCTAGTCGTCCACGAAGGTCAGCCGCCCCGGCCCTTCGTTCCTCATCCATCTCCTGTATCTCTTCCATCGGGGGTCGCTGGCCAGCTTCTTCTTCAGTTCTTCCTCCTGTTCTTGTTTGTAGACCTGTGTGTGCAAATGACACCGGCTGACTTTGTAATCCAAAGGGAAACATTTGTCTTCTGCTTTATAGCAGCACACTTACATTTTTCAAATACAAGTTTAGGTGCAAGTGACCAGTGAATGCATTGGTCTGTCGTCTCAAGACCACGCATTAAAAACAGTGAGCAATTACGCACCTCAGCATTCAGTATTAAATACGAAAGAACCACCCGTACAAGGACTAGTAATTTTTGTCACCAATTCCGTAACCTGGGAATACATGCTTTCCCTCACTGAAATCATACATAAGCTGAGTTTAAAGGGTTTAAATACTTCCTCTCAACAATGAATGTCCAATATTAAAGAATCACTTTATTTTTTTTAAATAGTAGTCGATAAATTTAACTGGTGGTTTTCAGTATTTGTGGACCCTAACCAAGGAACAAAACGACCTGATGATACACATTTGTCTCTAAACTGAACCTACATCTACTTTTATCTTCAAAGATAATTATTGGTTTTTCAAAATATTTTATTAAACTTCCCAAGGAAAGTTAAATAAACCTCATGGGTTAAGAACAAAACATATGCATTTCTGGAAATTTTAGTGGATGTCAGCTGAAGCTAAATGGATAAGTTTTCATAGCCAGTTTCACAGAGCAAATTTTAGAAAGAAATGATTTCCAAGTTTTAGGAAGTTGTGACTACGATAACCTTATAGAATAACATAATTCAGCCCAGAATAACTACTCTATGAAAGAGTTTTGTGGATTAGGCTGCCTAACCTACTTTTGTTTTTTAAAAATTTATTTATTTTTAGAGAGAGGAGAAAGGAGGGAGAAAGAGAGGGAGAGAAACATCAGTGTGTGGTTGCCTCTCACATGCCCCCTACTGGGCATCTGGCCTACAACCCAAGTGTGCCCTAGACTGGGAATCAAACCTGTGACCCTTTGGTTCACAGGCAGGCACTCAATCCACTGAGCCACACCCACTAGGGCTGCTTAACCTACTTTAAAAAGAAAACTTTTCAAGTTATTTAGGAGCAAGACAGTATGTTACATTCCATTTTTATCTTATTGATAAGCAGGTTGAATAGATTTACTTCCCAAAACATTCTGGCAATTCACAGTGAGTTGAGTTAGTTAAATACAATTCAAATTAAAAACTGACTTTTAGTAAAATCTATTTAGGATACTACATGTAAAAAGAAATGTGTATGAAACTAAAAAAAATGAATGTAGCTCATATTTCTTAGGAAGGTTTCAGTGTTCTTTATTCTTACATTTAATATATTAACCAATTAATTTTACCCAAAACCTAAAATAGTGTTATGGTGAGATTGCTAGGTCCTTTAGACTTTAGCTAGGCAGCCAGTCACCTCAAAGTAACCGCTGTAGCTGACAACTGTAAAATATTGCATTTATTAAAATGCCCAAAGTTTAGAGGCATTATAGTAAGTTAATTTAGTTTAAAAATAAAAGCAACCTTTCATACATGTTAGTTGCTATGCAGAAGATTCTGTGCTTATTTTATTTTGAAATGAAGTTATTCAACAAAATTTCCATTTCTTATTCCCTCTGTTTTGTTTTGATTTTTAATCTCCGTGGCTAAATTTACAGGACTGGAAGGAACCGTGGGAAAGACCAAATTTTAGTGAGTGCAATTAACAGGAAGCTGCTGGGACCCCTTGCAAACGTACATTGTCCCCCACCACACTTCAACACGACAAGTCAGACCACTCCTAACATTTTCAGCATCAGTCAATTAAAATGTTAGAACTCAACTTTTAAAAAGACAAATTACAGCCCTGGCTGGCGTAGCTCAGTGGATTGAGTGTGGGCTTGCAAACCAAAATGTCGCAGGTTTGATTCCCAGCCAGGGTACATTCCTGGGTTGCAGGCCATGACCCCCAGCAATCGCACATTGATGTTTCTCTCTCTCTATCTCCCTCCCTTCCCTCTCCAAACATAAATAAATAAAATTAAAAAAACAAAAACAAAAAGTTTATTTAAAAAAAAGACAAATTACAGGTTAAAAACCCACTGTCCCATTACCAAATATAGCCATACTTTCAAGAAAAGAAAGACCTGTATTCATTATTTAGCTCTTGGATTTCAGAAATCTGAGCATACCCTGCAATCCCTTAGCATACAACTAATTTTACCTGAGTAAGGAAGATGACCCCAAATCACGGCAGACTAGTCACTCACCTCATAGTTCTCCTTTATCCAGAGCTCCCGTTTAAGAAAAGTTTCTTTCTGATGATCTTCCAGACTATCAAACTGAGACTTTGACATCTTCATGGACTTACGTATAAGATACAGTCTTTCTTCTTCTCCGTATTCTTTGCCTTTGATGTTAAAGTTATAGACCCACCGGCAGTACCAGGCTATGTACGAGCACAGGTGAAAAGGCGCTAAGAGGATCTGAAAGAGGAGCAGATCCCGGATCTGGGGTTTCTGGTAGCCTCCCTTTATGTCTATCTTACTCTTGATAATGTTCTTTATAATGTTCTCCTCCTCATCACGGATCTCCTCTTTGGATTTTTTGTTTCTGCCCTTCTCTTTGGCTTTTCTGAGCAGCCCCTGCTGCTTGGCGATCTCCATGGCCTGGATGCGGTACTTGGGCACCGTGGCCAGGTAGCTGATTGCCTTGTCGTAGCTGTTCCACCAGCTGAAAAACTAGAGTATGTAACGGAGAAAAATGGGTCATTTTTATCACCAAAATGCATCCTGGTGAGCACCACCCCCTCCCCACCCATTCCGGTTAAAAACAGGAACCTCAGTCGTCTTACTCAGTAAGGAGAAGACACAACTGAGTAATGTCTCTGTGCACCAGGCTGGATAAGTCAGGGGAGCCCTGAGCTGAGCCAAAAAGTTACTAAATCAGACAGAAGATGCCCAAGATCAGAGGACAGACTGATGCAATCACACACCAGTGACTGCACATCTTTACTGTTTGGCTCTTCCCGGGATCACTGTCGAGACATCTCTCTCGCCCTGGCTGGTGTGCTCAGCTGGAGCGTCACCCGCAGACCCGAGGGTCCCGGCCCGACGCCCAGTAGAGCACACAGTGCACACACCTAGGTTGTGGGTTCCCTCCCCAGTCGGGCTGCATACGGGAGGCAATCAATCGGTGTCTCTCTCCCTCCCTCCCCTCCTCTCTAAAATCAGTGAGCATGGCCTCAGGTGAGGATTAAAAACAAAAAAGAAGAAGCCATAGGATGCAGGCGTGGGCAACTATATTCATCCCTGTCTCTTCCCCAAACTGTCTACACATACCATAGTTAATGCTCATCATATTCTGGACTGCAGAATTCAAACATGCTTAAACTCTCTGCTAGTTTGGATAGTAAAACATCTAACTTGTTTCACAAATATATTCAACCACAAAGAGTTTTATTAATTGTCAGAAAAAGTCCTATTCTTCACATTTCATTTGCTGTTTTATCAAATGAATACAGCAGTTACACCAATACTATCCTGATATATAGTTTTTCATATATATAGTTTTACATATAGTTATATATATGTGTGTGTATATAACTAGGGGATCATATTATCTGAAACAGAAAAGTAAAATTATCCCTCTCCTCCTCCTTTGAAAGAACAAAACTTCTACAAAATGTTACATATTTAAAATATACAATCTATACAAGTTTTCAATAGATATTCTTTTTGTCGTATAAATTGAAGCTCGTTTCTGGAAATTAAGCTCAAGAAGCAACTTTCACACCAGCTTCACTCCAGCCCCCGGATATGCTCTGTTCTGAAGGGGCGCATGGTGAGTGTGGTTAGTTCAAGAACAATGGTAGGGACAACTGATTTCAGGCTGAAGTTAAATTTCTGTGATATTTTAAAAACAACATCCAGAGTTAGGCTATCTTCCGCTACTTCAGCAGTCCAGCCCGAGCAGGGGCACCCCTAGCAGGCGCGTGCACAGGTGTGGGGCGTCTCTGGCGGCCACGTCAGCGCCGAGCACTGCCAGCCTCCAGAGGGCAGGCGCCAGGGCCTGTTAGGTCGTGTTCAGACGCCCAGACTTTTCTCCAGTGTAATGGGAAACTACTGAAAAGTTCCACAGAAGCCAAAGACGTGGCCAGCTGTCGTGGACCGCGCCGGCTGTCCGGGGGTAACCGCGCTGAGAAAGCAGCTGAGAGAGAGGGGGGCCCTCTGCCGGGTCCTCTCGGTAGTTTCACAACGACAGCCAGCAACATCCTGGGTTTCCCATGGACGGAGATTCCAATGTTATCATTGGTTGAAAAAAGTGGATATTTTTCTAGTGTAAAAATATACCAACTGGGTGAAAAACTTTACGGAAAGGTGCTTCTAGTTCAGTTCTGATGGCCAGCCCCCGGCGCGGCACACTCGAGCGCAGGCGGGCAGACGCACGTGGGCTCTGATACGCACCTGGAACACGGAGACGGCGCACACGCTGACCAGAATCACAACCCTGACGTCCACCTTCGGGGCCAGGCGCCGGCTGTAGTAGTGGTAGTAGTGGCGGTAGTACTCCTCCGGGTGGTCCAGCATGTAGTCGTAGTCCTTCCGCGTCTCCTCATCCTGCGGGGCAACAGAGATCCCAGTTCATGGACACTCCCTATCAAGGCCTCAGCGTGTAACCCGTTAACTCAGATCTAGAGTTTTATAATTATGTAAGGTTCATCTGAGTAAAACCACTGGAATTATCAAAATAAAGAAACTTCCCATCCCTCTTGATAGGCACATGTTAATTTGTTTCCAGAACGTTAATGTTGGCTATAAAGCATAATAAAAAAAAATATGTCCCTTTATTCTCGAGTATTGTTGGGCCTCCTAGAAAAACAAAAATGCTTCAACAACAATTAACGATGCCTCTGCAGCCAGTGCCGTGCTAACAAGGGTGCCTTCACGCCCTCAGAACTTAGGAGCATGTGGACACCCACTCTCAGCGACGACAGTGGACACGAAAAAATGTCTGTGTCTGCTGTACATCTTCACAAAGACTTTCCAGCCTTAGCCAGACAGTTTTCTGCTGACAGCAGTGATTAAGACAACGAAGAATGGACGCAGCCAACCGGGCCTGCAGAACGGAGCTGTGCTCACCCCAAAGAGGCGTCCCCACTGGGCAGTGGCCAGCCTCTGGCTTTGGGACTTCAGGTGAAGTGTTTAGCCTCTCTGAGCCTCACCTTTTTTCTTTTTTGTAAAATAGAGAGAATAATACCTGCTCTGCTAAGTTTACAGAGTTGTTTTGAGTATCAAATGACATACATTAAACAAAAACATGTTACAAATGCTTGGTACATTGCTGTTAGAATACCTTGTCACAGCCCAGTTCATAAATATGGTAACATATAAATCTTTCTTCATCATACAGAGATGTTGAAAAAATCATAACAGTCAGAAATGCCGCTCTGTTTACAAATGTTCACAAACAGAACATTTCTTAAAAACTTCTGATTGTGATCAATTTCTAACATGGGTAAATGCCAATCTTTTATGGAGCTATAGCAGCTGAATAGCTAGCTATGACACCAGATAATGAATTGCTTTAATCACACAGGAAACCTATTTTGTCTTTGTGCCTCCAAAATGTGAACGACTAAAAGCACAGCAAATTCTTTACTCGCTGTGAGAACACAGAAACCACTATGAAAACAAGAATCTTTCTTCACCTGGAGAATTTCTTTTTGTTAGGATGAATTCTTTCATGTCCACAGAAGTGCAGATTCTCAAGCAAAGGCACTTCTACAGGCACCATCCACACCTGGTGCTCTGCTGCCGCGCACGGCACTTCTGGGGGCTGCTCAGGACCCCTCCTCAGTTCCCCCAAAGGCCGTGTGCCGCAGACTTCAAGTAAGAAGTTTGCTAATGACGAAAATCTTCCCTGTGCCCGTTAAAGTCATTACATGTTTTCTGTTAAGAATTGTGGATCGGAGTGAGCACCTTTTCAGTGACAAATCTCTTTCATTACATTAAAAATATTTTTCACTTCTGACTAGAATCTGAAACCAGATATAAACTGGGATCCAGTACCGTCAGATGTGAATATACACAAACTCCCCAGGATGAGAGCTGTCTGTTATATAAGAAGGGCTCAGCTCAGCTGATGTTATTTTCAAACTCACTCCTTCTATGTTCACTTCTGTCGAAAAAGACTTTCTTGTGGCAACTGCCACACTCCCCAGTGTCAATCAACTGTTCCGTCTACAAGCCATTGTTATACCGTAGAGCTTCTAACCTAAAGAGGGTGAAACGTTAGCGGTCATAAAGAGATAGCTCTGAAGACTGAAACCCACATCTCCCAGTGAATTGCATTTTGTGTACTTCAAGACATCCTTTGAGAATCTGCCCATTCTCCCTCCATTTTTTTGCTGTTGGGGATAATTTTATAGAAATGCTCTGCTTTTGGCCGGAAGTCCTTGGCCTTTAACTCAGCCTCCCAATGTTGGCAGATGCCTTTTAAAACGCATTTCTTCCAACCCGATCCTTCTCCTTGCTGCAACTAGACTGCAAGGAGTTCTGAGCCGGACCGCCACACCCTGGGAGCCGACTCCTGCAGACTCCTGCAGGGCTGCAGCATCAGCCTCTGGACAGGGCCTGCCCGTGCTTCTGGGCGGAGTCTACAGCCAGGTCTCGGAGGTGACTGAAATCTGCCACATCAGTGCCGGCATCCTGTGGCGGCCCTTTCTTCTCCATTGTCTTGTCTTACTGAAGGTCACAGTCCACAGAAGGCACATACCCCTCCTCAAACACGTCACCCGCTCTTCCCCGGGGACTACCCTCTTCGCACTGGTCCCTAGATTTGTGATGTCATCGAGTCCTGCGCTCCGCCACCAGGATGGTCAACTCATGCTCCAGCAACCAGCAACCCCAAAACTGGTACCTCATACCGGGCCTCTCCACCGCCACCAGAGCCCGCTCTCAGGCCCTCGCACTACCTGATCCCCACACACGGCTCCAGGGCCGGGTCTGGCCGCCTTTAGGATGGTTTTCTTTTCCTTGGAGTCCCCGTGAACGTATGCCCCTGTTCTAGTCATGATTAGAGACGAGGAGGTCAGAATCTTTACTCAGTCTACAGCTTCCCCTCCAGAATGAAGACGGTGATTTTAGGCTGAGGCACGTCCACAACGGACTTTAGAAGGCGTTCAAGGTTGGCACAAAGTGGAGCGGCAGGAGCTCTTGCAGTCTAAGTCAAAACCCTACTCGCTAGGAGCCCACACGTCTCAGAACCAGCCCAGGAAGAACACAAGGACACCAGGAATATCAGCAAACAAAGGAAAAGGCAGAGACTGGGGCCCGATTAGAGAGCTACAGGTAGACACGTATTTCAACACCACATATTTATTTGTTTTCTCCTGTGCGTCTTGGAACTGAGGTAGTCCGACATTTTTTCAATGTATTTTTTAACCTCCATGGCTAATCGGGTCAGTTAAAATTTCCTTGGCAACCAACAAGGCCTCCATAACTGGCCTATCTTACCGAGCAACATCTTGCCCCTCTCCCCTCTTCTGTCCACAGCCGACAGTCAGAGACAGTAATTTCTACAACTCAGTGTGCCCTTCCAACACAGCATGCTCCGTCACACCTGGCTCTGGCCGAAGAATTCTAACACAAGTGCCATCCCTTCCTTCCAGCCTCGGGAGCTCCCACTAACCCTTCAGGACACAAATGTGACTGCTTCAGACAGAGTGACACGGCCTTCTCACACACGTTACCTGTTTGTTATAGCACTTATCACATTGTCACCACCAGGATTTTTTATTTTTCTGGAATGAGAACTTCTAGAAGACAGGTAGGGTGACTCATTAATCTCTGCATAACCAAGACCTAGCGCAATGCCTGGCACTCAGTAACTGTCATTTTAAAAAGGAGTGAAACTTGGTAAAGGCCCCGCATCCCTAGAGACTTCTCTCCAGCCAGCCGCTCAGGCCTCGGTCCCCCCAGGAAGGCTGGGCAGGCGATGGTGTCGCCAAAACTTCAGTTCAGCAGGCACAGCTGCCTCTGCTGTCACAGTTTACGGAAGCGTGCTGCTACTGGGGCTGAAATAGCTGAAACCTGAAAACAGTTTAACATCTTACCTTTCAACAAGCAGTACTTTTTTTCTTTCAGCAATTTTGTGGATCTTAAAGTCCCAGGGTCAGGAAGATGCCAACTTCTTTTCAAAACCACAACCTTTATACTTGTTTCTTCCTCCTCTCTGTCCTGAGCCTTGACAAGCTGGGCAATAAGCTCCTTGTCTCTACTCTCTACCGGAAAAAATGGCGCTTCTGCTGGCGTGCACTCCACTGCCAATCCTCTCGGGCATATGCAGGAGGACTGGAACACAGCCACCACATCTAGATCAAAGGTGAACAAGAGGAAACCCACAAAGAAAGTACTGAGTCCTTCCTTCTCTGAGGAAAGTGATCATCCCCCCGCCCCAGAGGCAAAGATATATTATGTTCTTGCCCTTGAAAGGAATAATGAATGGTTGACTCTTAATAAACATAAATTGCAATAATCTGATATTGCAGCCAGTTTCACATTAAAAAGTTTCGATTACACAGATAGCAAAAACCATTTCAGGATGGTAAAGGCCAGGAATCGATAATATATGAAAACATAGTGATATTTTGTTTGGTCTTAAAAATATGTATTAATTTTTTAAAAAAAGAAATAAACACATACAAATGGATCTTTAAAAAAAAAATCTGTTCCTCTAAATTTCTGTCCAGGCCACTGCATCCTACTACAGAGGACAAATGATCCACTATCAGGTCCACACCCTTCCTTGTTCCCTGCCCCCGGCCACTGGTGTGCAAGTGACTGCCTTCTCAGACACCTTCTCGATCTGCGTGTGATCTCGGCAACTCCCGTGACTCGCAGTGTCGCGTCTATACTAGTGACACTCAGACCTGTTCTTCCCGTGTCCACCTATTTTCAAACAGCTCCTGACCATGTCCTAAAATGCAACAAAAACCTCTCAAATTCAACACGCTCCAAATCAAAATCTGCTCCTCTGTGTTTCAGTTAATAGGATAGTATCATCAGCTTGGTTGCCTGAGCTTTTAAAACCTCACTTTTGACTTGGCAAATAAGTATGCAGGGCACTAAGCCTCGCGCTGAACTCAAAAGAGGATAAAGAGACAAACAAGGTAAGGCCCCAGCCTCAGGAACTCGCCCAGCTGGAAGAATCTGGCCAGCCAGAAAAGCGCCGTTTGACGTGCAGAGGAATCCAGGACTGACTCCCTCTGCCTGAGTCCGCTGGTAACGGGGTTCACAGAAGAGATGAAATGAGTGTTGGGTTTTGAAAAGCAAGGCGTGGAAAAACTCGTTCCAGCACGGGAGCACAGTGAGTGTTGGGGTACAGGAGAATCAATGAATATGATGGGTTCAGGGAAGCTTGAGCACCGAGTTCAGAGAGAGGAGCAGTGAAACTGGCCAGGAAGACGGGTCTGGATGAGAACTGGAGGATCTTACATGCCACGCCGAAGCATTAGGCTGTTATTGTCTGGGCTGGTCAAAAATAGAATGTTAACAGAGTTGAGAGCAACAGCATTGAGTAGAAGTATGCATTTTGGAAAAGTAATTACGGTACTACTGTAAAGAATGGAATGAGGGAGAAACAGATGTGAGAGACTACGAGGTAGAATGAATAGGACTGAGTGATTAAAGCACAAAAATCGATCCCGTTGACCATGGCAGTGGACTTTAATTACGGTTACCGTGTGGACCATGTTGCTATAAGATAAAGCACAGAGGACGAAGACAGCAGATTTGGAGAAGATGAAGGGCAAGACTGGAAACTTCTGAAATGGGGAGAAAAAATAATCACGGGACATCTTTTCACTCCCTGGAGCCTCCGAGGACTATCTATTCCTGCAGGAGGGACCTGCCTTTGCCTCTGAAACGCCTACTGTACCTTCGCAGGGACGGAAGCAATGTGTAGAAAACTGGAAGCCACACAGATGATCCTTGGTCGCAGAAAGACCAACTGTGGCTGTAACGCAGCTGATTACGGCCTTGTCGTACTGGCCCACTTCACAGGCAGGTCAGCATTCCTTGTCTGCCTATAAACGGGTGGCTTTTTTTTCTCTTTTGAACCAGTTTTAATATCTTACTGGTCCCCTCATTAATTAATGAGTTAAGTAAAATCTCTGATACTTGTTCGTTTTGTATTTGTTTGAGAGTCATGATTGTATCTGATGTGGACTCCAACCAGTGGTGTCCGTGGTGTTGCGGATGCGATGAACAAAATCACACGGGCGGCAGAAGTCCTGTGGAGAAAAGGGACGGCACTGCCACTCTGTGAGTGAGAGAGCTCCCCTGCCCTTGCCTGGACAGGCTTTTACTGCTTTTCTGGGAGCATTACCTCAAGGAAGGTCTTCATTCATCCTGGTCAGGCAGTAAGGATCAAACAATGGATAAAATTCAAAGAACTATGAGGGCTTATTCTAAGTCAGGGTCAGTTAGCTAAAGGGCCTTAAAACTTTGGGAATCAAACTCATTTCTTGCTTGGACCCTTATCAGAAAATTGAGGACATTCTTAGCGAAGCAGGTTTTGCAGGATTTTATGTATTCTTTTAGGTCTGATCTTCCCAGGGAACCACCCCCCACATTCCTGCCCAGGACCACACCCACCTCTGGCATTGTTTCAGGCTTAAGTCAGGCAAGGGGAGTAAGGCAGCCAAGAGATTAGGAGATTATACTCGGAATGAGGACTCAGGCTTTGTCAAAGCCTGAGGGGTGAGGGTCCATCACCCCTTTCTTCTATAGCCCCCTAAGTCCTCCCCTGAGGGACCCTTCATGACCATGCCTGTCTTAGGTTATCTCTCCCTTGAGGAATCTTACCCATCATTGACTAACCAGTCATCTGCCCAGGGCCAAGCAGGGTGAAGTAAAAGGGGGTAGAGGCGGCACCCCTCCCAGGGAGATAAGCTTTGTCTCCTTAGTGGTTTATGGTCCCAAGGTCTTTTACTCAGCCTTAGCCATGGGGGGGTTACAGCTTCTGGAACCAGGCAGGGCGGTTCCCAACATCATCTGCTTTTAAAATGTACGCTTTAACACAGATTAACAAGACTGGTTTCAGACATGTTTGATTTTGGGTGCCTGTGCTACAGATGAAAGGCTATACTGAAAATACGAACTTAGAGAACACACAGATTTTAGCGTTGTCAGGGATTTAGTTGAGTTTCATCAGGAAAAGCTTAGCAATTAAAAAAAAAAAAAAGAGTACCAAAAGAACAGAACTCTAAGGAAAAGCAATGTTTAAGGTCCAGGCAGAGGAAAAGAAGACTCTGAAGCCTGAAAAGAAAGGACTAGAAAGACAGGAGAAACGGGAGAGAACTACTGCAAGAAGTCAAGGGAGAACATCTTAAAGGGCCACACGGTCAGCACTGTCAAATGCCACCAAAAGTTCCAGGAGGAAGAATGAAGAGCCCCCAGATCTGAAGCGCTGATGTCAAGTTCACCTAAGAACAGTCCTGGTGCGTGTGTGCTGATGCCCACACCCGCCTCCGCCAGCGTGAATGAGAGGGGAGATGAGGACGGTCAACGGCAGAAAAAGAGGGATGTTGGGACCACAGCATTAACAGGAAAAGAAAAATTAACCGAAGGAAATGCGAAACAACCAACCTAGAGATTCTTAAGTTACCAAAGAGGAGTGACGAGATCCCAGAAGGTGACGGTGGAGATAAAGTCGGTTCAGTCACCAACACCTTTCTGCCTTCCCCAACCATCCTCCATATTGTTCTAGAATTTTCCTTCTGAATCCAACTTCAGGTTTGTGTTACTTCTCCACTTTGAAACGTCTGGTAACTATTCAATACATGACGCTCACACTCTTGAACTCAGCTTAAAGGGCAGTTCATCCTGGGTTCCCAAACTAAGTGTCAGCCTCCTGCAACACTCTCCCTACGAAGCACCAGACAGGCTTCTTACCCAGAAGCAGCGGATCCCCTAAAGTCTATGAAAAAATGCAGTAAGGGTCTTTGTGCTGTGAATATCTCAAAATATCCCACTGACCCATGATAAACCTGCACGAGCTCAGTTAAAATGCCAGGTGCTCAGTTTCTGGCTAGAATTATATCAGCCCCGATTGGTGGCTGGTAACATCCCATGTCAGGTAGTTGCAGCACTAGAATTAAACGCATCTGGTGTATAATCAACCTGGGCCATAAATAGGGTATAAGCTGAAAATCAGGGATCAGCGAAAAATAAACACCACTTAGGGGATTATAGCAGAAACGGCAAACGTGGTGCACGAGGTCCCTCACCCCTCTGCGCCCACGGGAGAAATCCCTGTCAGACCCGTCATCTTGCCCACCAAATCCAGACAAGGCGTCAAAATGTTCACAGGTGTGTCGGGGAGTCATTCATGCCCAACCAGAGCTGGCATGTGCAATCAGAACTATCTGCTCTGAGGCTTACTTGATTTGGCTGTTTTTCAGCACCACAACTGTTGTAGACTTTACCTCAATGTGGATTGATGCTGGGAAAGAAAAACAGTAATACTAGTAGGTGCTATTAAATTCCCCCCCCCCCCCCAAAAAACAAAGAGGCCCTGTGAACCAAATAATAAAAGTGATCCCTGGGCCCTGGCTGGTGTGGCTCTGTGGCTGAGTGCTGACTTGAGAGCCAAAGGGTGGATGGTTCGATTCCCAGTCAGGGCACACACCCACCTGGGTTGCAGGCCGGGTCCCCTGCAGGCGGCCTGCGAGAGGCAACCACACATTGATGTTTCTCTCCCTTTCTTTCTCCCTCCCTTACCCTCTCTCTAAAAATAAATAAAATCTTTTTTAAAAAAGTGATGCTTGGTAGAGAAAACCTCACCGAACTACAACTCATTCCCGGAACAGCCCCGCACACTGGTGACTCCGTGTTTTTGTTGGCCAGGCTCTCCCCCGACCACACACATCCCTTCGCTGCCCACCTCGGTGACTGTTCGAGATCCAGATCAAAGAGTATATATTCTACTCCAATCCCCAAAGAAGAAATAATTATGTTCTCGCCTGCTCTCGCTGCCGCAATATCATCTACAAGCATTTTTATTACGAAACTTAAATAAATAACCAAACAATAATTCTCTGTCTCCTTGTTATGTTAAAAGCTTAACAGCAGGAACAGCCCCTTTCGCTGCTGTGGTCTCCTCCCCGGCACCTCTGTACTGGTTACAGAAAGGGGTAAGAGAACCTGCTAAAGAAACACAGTCAACAGTGACATAAAAGGGCGGGGAGTCCCCAATCCCCCTTTTTGCTACATTCTCCCTGAGTGCCAACGCCCTGCCCCATCAGTCGGACTGAGAAAAAGAAACGGAACTGTTCTGGTGACTTCCCTGCCAAGACAAGGCTGGACGGGCAGGAGGCTCCATCCGCACGCACGCCGCTGGCCGACCAGGCAGCCTTCCTGCCAGGCGCCTTTGTAATGTCCTTCTCTTGCCGTCTTGCCAAATGCAGTCTGATTCTGCTGTTCGCCCGTTTTCTACCCATCACGGTGTTTCTCAGTGTACCCTTTCCACCTATTCCCTGCTCTGCTTATTTTTATGCTATCTTTCTAATTTTATCTATTTTATCCAATTCTTATCTATATTCACAAATTCATATTCTGACTTTAAAACTTTCAGAGCACGATTTCTCCTTAACAATAGAAGTGCATTTTCCTTTTCTTTCATCCAGGAATTTTTCATTCATACCCAACCAATTGTATCTGTACCACTCTTTCAAACTGTCATTACTTTGGGGTAAAATGCCCAAGTCAGCTTCACATACCAATGCCAACAACTGCAGAAACCCACTTCCGATTTCCAGTCTACCTGAATCCATCCCCAGACATGAGTTTTCACCTAACAGACACTCGTTACCTGGTGTGCCAGACACTGTGCTAGGTGCCATGGACACACATACAAAAAAAACTGAGGAGGGAGGCTCAGCAGAGGGGGCAGAGGGCCACCGAGTATTCACAGTGCAGTGTGATAAGTGCTATATCCACATAAAAAGACCCGATGTTGACAAAGCAAGTGATGGTCCGTTTACCTAACTTCCAAAGTCCACGGTTCCCTAAAGCCCCAGGAGTCAAAAACGCTAACTACTGTTTCATCGTCTCCACTCATGTTATGAAGCAAATACAAAACAGCATGTGAAATCTGGAATGGTCTAGAGCCCTGCTGAGATCTGGAACTCTTACGTTATTTTTTTTAATTAAGTTTATTGGGGTGACAATGGTTAATAAGATTATATATATAGGTTTCAAGTCAGACAGAGAAAGTTAAGAACCGTATGATTTCACTCATCTGCAGGATGCACAACTGGAATTTTAAGTTATTTGAGAATATGAACTAGGAATGACTGGGTGCAAGCACCCAACCAATGCCTTTGCCTTCCAGTACTACCCATCCTTCTTTTTTTTGGGGGGGGGGGCATTTCCTCCACCTCTCCCTGTACAGACAGAATGTCTGTTGCCAGAACAACAATGACTAAGAGCGCGCTTTTCCTTTTCACCAAAGGCTGGAAACGCCTGTCACCCCTGCTGGAGCTGAGATACTGAAGATGCAACACCGGAGAGGTCTCGCTGCGGCCACCAGCCAGAGCGAGCAGAACAGCGATGTTGGGCCAGAGAAGTGGCTGGTCCGGGGCCACCCCACAGCCGTGCTGTGTCACAATTAAGCCACCTGCACTGCAGCCCAAATTGGGGGTTTCTTACTTTTCGATGTTCTTTTTCTCAATTGTTTTCTTCTCATTTAATTTTTTTTCTTTATTTGCTTTTTTCCCCCGTTTTCTTCTTTAGAATTTTTTTTTAGGTAGTATGGGTATAGTTAGCATTGTTTATTAGTATTGTCAGTTAGCACTGTTAGTAGTTAGTATAGTTAATATTAGTATAGTTGCTACAGTTAGCATTGTTTACTGGTATTGTTTATTAGCAGAATTAGTATGGTTAGCATTGGTATAATTACTATAGTTAGCATTGCTTATTAGCATAGTTAGCATGTTACCATAGAATAGTTAGTACTGTTTGTCAGCATAGTTAGTACGCACAGTTAGCATCGACAGTGTTGTCGGTATGGCTGGCAAGTTGCCGTGTCTAACGACCTTGCGGCCATCCCTGCCAACAAAGAGCCCCATACTGGCCTTTATGAGCTCCTGAAAACTATTGGCAAGGGAACCTTTGTCAATGCAAGGCTGGCCCGGCACATTCCGATGGGGACAGAGGTGGCTGTCAAAGTTGTTAATTGGCGGGGCTCCCCTATGCCTTTTCAAGAAGTCCGCTATATGAAGGGTTTGAATCCCCAGTAGCAGTTATTTGAGGAGACTGCTACTGGGCAACATTATTCCTTCTATGACGCGTAGGAGCAGAGGAGACTGGCTTGGTTACCTGGAGGGCCCCTCGACTGAGGAGGAGGCCCGAGCCTTGTTCTGGCAGCTGGGGTCAGCAGTACAGTGCTGCCGCCAGAGGGGCATCACCCACGGGGCCCAAAGCCAGAGAACCATCCTCAGAGATGCTGAGCCGACTGGCAGACTGGCTGACTGGCCGCCTTCAGCCTCAGCGGCGAAGGCACTGGCCGTGAGCCGTTCTGTGGCATCCTCTCTTATGTCGCCCCCGAGCTCTGCTGGTGCCAAACTTATGACAGCCCTGGGGTTGATGTATGGAGCCTGGGGGTAGTTCTGTACAGGGACCCTGCTGTTTGTGGGGGAGGACTTCTGAGAACTGAAGCATCAGATGTGGAGTGGACACTTGCATGTACCTATACTTTACGTCTACAGAATGTCAAAAAGTTTTCTAAAAATTAATGACCCTTGGAACCCGGCAAAAGAACAACCCTGGAATATGTTATGAAGGACCCACAGCTCAACACGGGCCAGGAGGAGGAGCCCAGGCCTTTTAGGGAGCCCCCAGGACAACATGGACCCCAGGTGACAGGGATAGTAAAGAACCTGGCGTTTGAACGAGACAAGATCCAGGAATAAGTAACAGAACAAAAGTACAACAAAGCGATGGGCACATGCTTGATCCTAAGTCCCTGAAAACCAAGGTGAAGGGCCACACCATCAGAATAAGACCCTGCCCCAATCCTGACGCCAAGACCTTAAGCCCTTCCCCAGCCTGAGAGGTTCTGCCCTGGTGGCAGAAGACCAAAGAACCTGCTATCCCCCAGCCAGCTTGGAGTCCAGGACCTCCATCCCCAACCCGGCCCTCCAGAGAGGCTCGGTGGGCTTCCCCGCACCCACAGTAGCAGCAGCAGCTCAGCAGTGGCGGCACCTCCAGAGGGAACCAACACAAAAACTCCTTTCATGCTGGGCAGCCTGAGGGTGGGACCCCAGCCTCTCCCTCTGGCCACAGGCATGGCCAGCAGGGGGCGGTAACTAGGAGGTTCTTCCATTTCCCATTAAGATGCACGTGCTGTAGGCTGTCCACTACCAGAAGCACAAGTCAAACCAATATAATTTTTAAAATTGTGGAAAACCAAGGCAGGACCACAGTCAAGACTCTGGCTCAAGCCATACCGCCCCCCCCCCTCGCATTTTACATCAAACTTAAAGGTGCCGCGCACCAGGGCGGCCAGCCACCTGGTGCAGGGGTCAGCCAGAGGCAAGGCCCAAGCAGCTGCAGGGGACAGCAGTGCCGGCCGGCCATGCGCACCTCTCAGGGGGAGGACTTGATCCAGCAGACAATGAAGATGTGCAAACCGCTCAGCTCCCAGGGTGGCCTGCAGCGCCCCACTGGAAGGGGGGGCTAAGAGGACAGGCCCCCCTCCCTGCAGTCCACCCCTCAGCCCCCACTTGAATGAAACTTCAGAGACTGAACTGTTTTTGCTGGGGGCCCTTCTCGCCTCCCCTGCTCTTCTTTTCTCCCCCGTGTGTGGGGGTTCTTATTAAAGTGTTTGGTTCTTCCAAATCTTATAATAAATTTGAAGCTCCAGGGGGAAAAAAAGCGCTAAGTGTGATATCTCCTTGTCTTAAAAAAATGTATTGAGATCACATTAGTGTACTTATTCTTAGCAACCACCATCTAAAAAAGAAATCTCAAAGAGGTGTTTATTTGGCCAAGACAATCTTAGAATCATAAACCCACTAAATCTTACACAAATATATTCCCACTTGGTGATGTATTCATTATCAGCATTCGGAGATCTTTGGTTCTTAGCAGTTTTGATGTGACATCACTGTTAGAATATAATGAGTATATAACCTCATATCATATATTAAAAATACGAAGTGACTCAGTCAAACCATTATGGAATACACTTGAAACTAATACAGAATAAAACTGCATATAACCCATAACTGACAAATTAAATAATAATAAACTTAAACAGACCAATAAGAAGAGTAATGAAGAAGGTTATGAGAAAATTACGGGGGAGAAAAAAGGTTCCCAGCTCCAATGGAGTTGCAGCTAAATTATTTCAGACTTCAAGAGAGAAACAACTTCTGTTAGGGACACCACCCCAGAGATGAAGTTGACCTGTTCACGCTACAAAGCAAATACAAAATCTACTTTTTCCTCCATATACATTCCAGCAACGACTGACCAGGGTTGCAAAGGACAGTCTTCCTGGCTCCCGCCCCTCCTTTCCGACTGGCTGGGAGATAAGTATACATACCTCTCCCAGGGTTTACTGCTATTCCTTATGGGGAGAGATACAGAGTATAACAAAAATAGCGAACAAATGAAATGTGGTCCCAGGCACGCAGCTGCTGCCTCCGGGAGATATGTGGAATTCTAGATATGTGGAACTTCTGCAACTGGTCTTTCTCCAAAGCCACCAGAACTCACCTTCTCCCACTCTCCTGTCTGACCTGCTCTTACCAACTCTTAACAAAGGCCCCGTGGCCCTCTCAGCCCTCACAAGCTCTGTTCCCAGCTTGCCCATAGAATCCACGCAAAACAGTGATAGCCCCATTGCCTTCAGGGTGTAATTTGGAAGGCTGAGGCCGACCGAACTGAATGAGTCCGGTTCACTGGGCCTTTGCGTTACCCAGAGATGATATTCTCTGGCAACATTCTCGCCATTTTCCATTATGACAGATAAACATCAGACCACCCTGTTTGTTTTTAATAACATCTTCATCTTATAATCTTATAATCTTTGACAGCAAGTCAAAGTCCTTTTGCTCTTTCCAGGAGACAGCACATGCACCGAAGTTTTTTGTTTGTTTGTTTGTTTTTGTTTGGGATTTTTTTGTGGGGTTTTTTTTTTTAAGTTTTCCTGAGGTGTTCCAACTGGAAATGGAGTCCATGTCTATTTCTGTACATTTAAAATGGGTCTTTTCATAGGGCTCAGCTGAGTCTGATATTCAAGGGTCCAACTAGCCCAACGCACCCTTTTCTCTCTCAGATAATTTCCATTCTCTTGCAGTGATACAAAGGGAGGCTGGGAACCCAGAAGACACGCCAGCACTCCCCCCTCCCTCAGCACAACTCCAAGTCCAGTGTCTTGTTCAGAGGCACCACAAACCTCCTGTGGGAATCAAGAGTAAAAGTGTTACTTTCTCCAGACCTACCAGTGTTTACCTGCCCCAAACGTCCTTGTTCTTGACTGGACAAACCATTTCAACACACTTTTTATTAGGTGACAGTTCAGTGCTACTACTCTTCAGGGGTAGAAGCCTTTAGAAGCAACTGTTTTAGACCCACTAGATCAGTCTCTAAATTTGTCTCCAAGAAAACGGCAAGTGTATCTAGAGTTTTGAGGTTCCTTCCAGCAAGGATTTCTCTACTGTCCCTATTTCTTGGTACTTTTTTTACTAACATGCTCACCATTCTCGTGCCAAGCCGCACCATTCTCACGTCCAACCACAGCAGAAGGCACAGAGGCTAGTGTTTCTGCTGCCTTCTCCTCTGGAAGCGCTCTACCTGTGTGAGAAAGGTCCATACCGGTCCTTTCTCACATGCCACCAGGGCTTTGGAGGACCAGCAGCAGCCTTTCCGGTTGCTCGTATGGACCATTCTCTTTCCTCACTGCAGAAAAACACAGACTGAAGCTTTGGATGATGGTTGCTCTGGATGGAGAAGTTCTTTCCCATGATTCTGAGGTCTTTCTTCAATACTCTTCCTCCTAAATAATAGGCAAACTCAACCCTCAGGCCTCAGCACTGTCCCAGCTCTCACCCATTCCTCAGTTAATTGCCAACAAAAATTACAGCCCCACCCATGCTAGTGAAAACTCGGTGAACTAGGCACGCTCATTTTATGGCCCCAAACTATCCAGACCACTGTGAGAAGCATGAATGAAAAGTCTTTTAACTCCTTGATTCAGTCTTTTCAGCTCTGGTAAGCAAATCTGGAAAAGGAATCCACAGTTAAATTATAGCATACCCTCTCAAAGCAGTCATTAAAAGCAGACTATATAGCAACACGAAAAACGGGCCAGAAAGAAAGAAAAGGAAGACCATACAACTACAGCCACTGTTACGTTAGCATGATGGGGCCTTTGAAGCAGAAACACTTCCATCAAATATAATTTATATTTTGTGACTTCTTACATGGTTTGATTTCCGCAGTAGCAGAAGAAAGCAGTATCAGGCTAAATCTCCCCATCCCCGCAGGGCTCAATAAAACCTCTGTCAAATGACTGCAACTATGCAAAATATTTCCTGCTGGAAACTCTCCGGGTCTTGAACCCCAGGTCATTAAGTACCTATTTATTTCCTAGGCCCTGTGCAGGGGGGTTCTCACACTTATTTAACCCTCAGAAAAACCCTGTAAGGAGGTATCACGGCCTTAATTTTACACACGAAGAAACAGCTCATCCATCCAGCACAGTCACTATCAAGGTCATATATGGCGACCGATCCAAGAGTTAAACATGGTCTTCTCACTGAGTGTTCATTGCTCTTCTCAGGTTTCTCTAGATCCTTAAACCCAAACTAAATGTCACAATTAATAGCATCCCCACAAACCAAGTTTCTCTCAGGCCAACTGGCGCTACCATACTATCAGTCAATATTAAAGAACGTTCTTGTGTTTCTATCACAGATCGTGGTAATAATATAATAATCACTGCTTTCCGAGTGGGAGCTGCACATTATTAATATACTTTCACTAAATCGTAAGATTATTCTATATGCCTTGCATTGCAAGGACTGTCACCAAGGGGTGGGGGCTGGCTGAACCCCTAAGATCAGAGGGGTTTCCTATCTTTGTCAATGGCCCTGTGGGCTCTTACACAGGCCCATTGGGAAAGCGCGAGCCTCCGACCTCACGTGGTGGTGTCCGCGCCGGGCGCAGGGGCCGCCCGCTTCCCCAAAGAGACCTCTCAGCCCACCGGTGACCCAAGGCCTCACCTTGAGAGTCTCGTAGGCGGTGGCCACCAGCAGGAAGGCCTCCTCGGCGCTCTGCAGCGATCGCCCGGGGCCCTCGTCGCCCGGCTCGGGCCGGTAGCGGTCGGGGTGGTAGCGCCGGGCCAGCTGGCGGTAGGCCCGCGCGATCTCCGCCTTGCTGGCGGTGCGGCTCACGCCCAGCACCTCGTAGCAGTCCCGCGTGCCGCAGTAGAGCCCCTCCACCAGGGCCCACGCCGGCCGCGCCAGCAGTAGCACCAGCAGCAGCTGCGGCAGCACCACCAACCGGAGCCGGTCTGCATGCCGGGCTTTCCCGCACGGAACTAGCCGCACCGCCATTCCGGCCCCAGCTGCCGATTCACCACCCTAGCGCCTGGCCGCACGCCGCAGCGCTCCGGGCTCTGGCTCTTCCGTGGCGTCCAGCTCCTAGTCAGCAGGGACGCCTCTGCGCAGGCGCGCAGGCTGGGCTGCGCCCACCAATTTCCCCGCCGTTGCTAGGGCGCAGGACGCTTGAGCCACCTTGCAGCTTCCGCTGTGTCACTGAATGCCTTCCTAATTCCAGGGACCAGAGGGTTTGTCGGATTTAAAGGCACAGGTAACCAGTGCATGCAGAGCGCTACACTGTCCGCAGTGCCTTACACACACGATCTTCTCGACAGTGCGATTTCACCTGCTGCAATGGGTCGTCTAGCTAGCTCCTTGCCCTCTGGTTCTCGTGTCAGGAAGCGTGCACAGGGTTTTAAAGCCCTGGCTCCAGTCCTGGAAACCTTCCTCTCACTAACTCCATGCTGCCTTTCTAAAAGGAAGATGAATTTAGGGAGTCTAGACGCTGACTGTTAGGGACTCTTAAAGTTTATTCATGGCCATCTAGGTCCGGCTTTCTCTGCTTCCGCACTGTTGACATTTTGGACCCGGTAATTCTTAGCCTTGTGGGGACTGTCCTATGCAGTGTAAAATGTTTAGCAGCATCCCTGTCCTCTACACCCCCGTCCAACCAGGTGTGACAATCCGAAAACTCTCCGGATACTGCCAAGTGTGTTCTGAGGGTAGAGTTGCCAGGGGGGGTGGAAATACAGGTCACTCAGTTACATTTGAATTTCAGGTAAAAAAACAAACACTTTTTAGTACAATTATGCCCCAAATATTACATGGGACTATACAGCAACATGAAGATCTTTGCCTCAAAAAATTGTTTCTATCACTTTTCAGTAACTATTTTTGAGCCTTTACTATGAGCTAGGCACAGTTGAGGCACTACAGACAGAAAGACAAGAAAGGGAGACAAGGTGCTCAACCTCAGGGAGCGTATATTCCAATGAAGGATGGCAGATAATAAGCAAACTTTAAGATATAAGAAATTTTTTTAAAAAATTACAACTGGCTACACTTTAATAAATAAAGTCATTGTGAAGGTTTACATTTACAGACTGAAAAGTGAACACATAGCATTTCAAATTCAGTTTTGGAAGTAGTAATAAGTACTGGCCCACAACAATAAACTCTAGCTACCTTTTTAACTGTCCATTCTTAGCACCGACAAAGATTCAACAGAATTACCTTTATTCCCACATTTCAAAACAATGCTGCAAATTATCAAGTTTAAGTATAGTCACAGACCTTAAATATATATTCTTTTAAGAAAATGAAACAAGGTAAAGATATACATATATGATTATGCAGCATATGCTATACACTATACATTATCATATATATATAAAAATACACACAGAAAAAGAGATATAGAATTAATGGAAACACATAGGAGAGTAACCTAACCTAAAATTATTAAAGCAAAGGTCAATCATTAAGGTCAGTTCCTGGAGGAATTAACATCTAAACTGACTTTGAAGGACAAATAGAAGATGAATTGAAGGGTGGGAGTGAGGGAGGAATTGGGATAAGGGAGCTTTAAAATAAGTACCAAGAAGAAAAAAAGGCATTTTTTTTTTCTTGGGCAAGAAAAAAAATGAAGCTTTCCAAGAAATGAAAGATAGTTCCTATGAGTGGAGCTGGAGATGAGGAATGGAGGAGATGAAACTGGGAAAAGCCGGATTGTGAGGGATCATTTTATTCCACCTGGAAGAAGTTGCCCTTTCTCCTAAGAGCAATGGACAGCCAGTGTGGAATTTTTAAGTGGTAAAGTGACACCTTCAGATGTGCCTTTCAGAATAACTCTGAGAAAACGAGTTTGGAGATGTCAGGAAGACCCTTATGAGACACGTCTAAGAATCCAAGTAAGAGACGCCACAGGCCTGCTTCAGCAGCGCCCTGAGAATGGAGGAAGAAGAGAGAAAAGCTGAGGCACGTTTATGAAGAAGAACGGGCGGTGTTTTGCCACTGGTTCTGGAGGAGGGAAGGAGAAGAAGGAGTTGTGACAGTGGCTCTGGCTTCTGGGTTGGGCGGCCAGCTGCCATCCCCGAAATAAGGACACAGACGGGACGGGTACTCCCAGTGTAGGAGGATGCGCTCACTTGAGCTCTGCTGTGTTTGAGATGCCCGCCGTCGCCTCATTGGATCGTGTCAGTTCCATACGTGAGACATTTGATGATTGCCGTCGGACCTTGCCGCCTGCGAGGCCCTTCAGCTCTGCAGGTTACCCCGTCCACTTCCTCCATGCCAGCCCCTTCCCAAGGGGAAGACGTTCCCGTGCGGACTTGAGAAAAAGGAAATTTTCTACATTACGAATTTAGTCGTGTTCCTCTTACCCAACTTCTCCCTCAAATACCTTAGCATGGATTTCAGAATTCTGCTCCAACCTAGGGTCTCACAGGCTCTGCTTTTGGTAGTTCTTGTCCCTCTTCCTAAGCTGTTTCATCTCCGCGAGGCCCTCCAGCCCGCTCTACCCTGCAGGACTCAGCCTCAGCGTCTCCTCTGTTTGGACTCTTCCCACGTCACAATCCCACAGCTGATTCAGAGCCTCTACGTAATCAAGGTCAAACTATTACAGGACAGGCTGTCTTCAAAGCAGACGAAACCTGGGTCTGCAGCTGTGATTAATTTATGGCCTCTGCGCTGCAAACCCGCATTCCTTGCTGTGCAAGGAAACGCAAACTGCACTTCCACACTCTGCCAACAGAGGGTGCTTGAGGCACACTGACTGGCTGGAAAAGGAAGAAGGTATTTTTTTCTCCAAGGCAATAGATCAAATGTGCAGAGTTCCCTGTCCAGGGTCACTGTCTTTCCTGGTGATGGCTCCTGCTGTGGGTTGAATTATATCTCCCCCAAAGGATATGTTCAAGTCCTAACATCCAGGACCTGTGAATGTCCCCTTATTTGGAAACATGGTCCTTGCAGATGTGATTGATTAAAATGAAGTCACACTAGAGAAGGGTGGGTCCTAGTCCGACGGCTGGTGTCTGCGTAAGGATGAACGCACCGGGGGAACTACGCTGTGAAGACAGGGCAGCAATTGGAGCTACGCTACCCTGAGCCTGGGAACGCCGAGGATTGCCAGCTGCCTCTGGAAGTTAGGAGAGAAGGATGGAACAAATTCAGAGGCCCCAGAAGGGACCAGCCCAGTGGACGCCTTGATTTCAGACTTGAACCTCCCGAACCGTGAGAGAAGACAGTTCTGTGATTGTAAGTCACCTGGTTTGCGGTTAGCCCTCAGCAGGGGACAGTTTTTTCACCACAGCAGCGGGCACATGCTCCTGTGGCAAACCCAATCTCTCCTCGGAGCAAAAGAAACAGTAAATGGATGCTTAGTGGCTACAGGAATTGCTTTGGGACGATGGAAATTTCTGGAACTAGATTGAAGCGATGGTCACACAACGTTGTAAAGGAACTTAATGTCACTGACCTGTGCACTTTAAAATGGCTCCGATGGTAAATTTTATGTTTATCACAATAAAAATAAATGCGAAGAATGCTACTAGGTCTGGGGCTGAGGGAAAAGTAAATAGATTAAGAACTTAAAAAATGAGCCCTGGCTGGCGTAGCTCAGGGGATTGAGCTCGGGCTGTGAACCAAAGCATCACAGGTTCGATTCCCAGTCAGGGCACTGTTGCGCGTGGGTCACCGGCCAGCAGTGACCACGGAACGCTGTGGATGGCTCGACAATAAACACGCGAGAAATAACAACATGCACAGAGACAAACTAGTTTCTGTGGGGAAGTAGGGACGAAATGGCCACCCCCCCTAGTGGGGAGTGCGCTGATTTACCGTCCATACCTGCTTTTATTAGGCTCATTTTGCATAGTAATTCAGGTGAAGTACAGTACTCATTAGGGGAAGTAAGGAACTATAGAAAACAAAGAACTCTGCCGGTCTATTGAGTTGGGGTCTAAGAGCTGTAAGACTGAGGAACAAAATAACTTCCTCCTAAGACCCTTCTCATTCAACTGAGAGCATTCTAAACAAAGAAGGTTTCACAGTAATTTACATGTTCTTTCTTAGGCCTGATCACCCCAGGAAATCCGCACTTCCCAGTACCGAGCTGTACTACCCTGTCATTGTTTCAGGCTTAGGTGGAGCACGGGAACTAAGGCCACCGAGAGTTAAGGAGATTTTCTTCCGGACGCTGAGAACTCGGACTTTGTCAAAGCCGAGGAGCGAGGGTCCATCACCCCCTTTTGCTGCAGCCCCCCAAGTCCTTCTTTTGGGGGGCCTCCCAAAGTGATCGTGCCTGGCTTGGGTCGTTCCCCCCGTGGGGAATCTTACCCGTCTTTGGCTAACCGACCAAGCTTTTTGGGGTTCAGCAGCAGAAGCAGCATTCCTGCCAGGGAGATAAGCTTTTATCTCCTTGCAGGCTCACAGTTCCAAGGGCGTTCCCTTAGCCTTAGCTAGGCGGGGGTTTCAGCCTCTGATACCAGTCAGGGCGGTTCCCAACAGGGCACATTCCTGGGTTGCAGGCCACGGCCCGCAGCAACCGCAAATTGATGTTTCTCTCTCTCTCTTTCTCCCTCCCTTCCCTCTCTAAAAATAAATAAAAAATAAAAAATAAGAACTTAAAAAATACAGAGGACTCTTTTGCCCCAAGTTTGAGACTAGTCGGGGTTTTTTTTTTTTATTGTGGTAAAATACACATAATGTACACCCAAACCAGAAAAGAATGAGAGCTAATGGAATCCAAAATTGTTTGTAAAATGTTCTCCAACTTGACCCAGTAGGAATGGACGCACTACTCTGCAGCCACAGGGCTACCCCATTCAGGATGCTTTCCCCACAACCCCGCCTACGGGGCGGAGCTTCTCTCTCCCCGGCTTTGTGACGCAGCGCAGTGACAGAAGAAGCCCGAGGCTTGGCCTTCGCGGTCCCTGCCAGAACCCAGGCAAGGAGTAGAATGGGGCTGTTATCACCGGTGGTCGGTGAATCAGAACAATCTTCTGATTGGGTGGGTTGTGTTGACCAGTATAAATTATTTGCATATAATCTTAAACCAAAACATCCTTGTTACCTAAAACCTGGCCTTTGCCTCCATTTCTTTTAGCCCAGAGTCCAAA